TTGATTGAGCTAATTTAGAGTTGATGACGGACATTTGTTTTAATCATTGGGAGTATAATCGTCCATAGATGCCCGGAAGAAGAGTTCAGCTTGGGATCTTCAAGAACAAATGATTCAAGCTTCAATTTCTTTGATGTTCTTGGTGTTGGAAGGCTAAAGTCCGATTTTTTTGGTTTTTTATTTAACATTTGTGGATTAAAATCCTAATTATAAAACTGGCATCGGAGCCTCATTCGAAGGTTCTGGTATGGTTCACGGTTGAATTGGTAAGATCTATCCTGATTCGTGATAGATTGTGGTACTCATTGTTGAAGTTGAGTCAAAATTTAGCAGTCAACTGGCTTCAGAAAGAAATAAATATGGGAATAAAACATTGAAGGGGATAAAAAGAAGATTAAAACACAAGATCATAGGTATCCACTAACTTCGGTCAATCAACAATCAATTTAGCGGTCAGAGGTGAATTAATCCAAAATTCAAGTCTTGCAAAATGGAGTTGGATCGATCTATGCCCAAACCTGTTAAATAATGAGTAATGTTATTCTACATCACTGGTGTCAAGTATCGATGTAGATGGCAATTTTATGACAACAAATTATATGTTCAGTTAAATGCAATGTCACATAATTCGTTTAATTGAATATGTTAAGTATGGTCAATTAGACTGGTGTTCTAGCACTATTGGTGTTAAATAACATTATTCTTATGTAATGGAATTGTACATGTAAAAAATCTCAATAGTAAGTATATTTTGGACATACTAAATTACATTACCATTGAAGATACTCTAAGTGGACATTTTTAAATCAACTATATCAAATCTTACATTTTTATACAAGACATCATTAGTAGAGCAGATCAAAATACGTAAGAGTAGTCTACAACTAATACCATCTTATGCGTTTTTATTATCTATTTTCTTCGGTTGAGAATTAATAATACTTAGTTTGAAGAGTAGTTGTGTCATTCACTACACCAAAAAATAGCTTTTGCAACACACAAAAGGTAACATTTGATAGTTAAATGTTGTTAAAAGGGTCTGTCGCAATATTTTAATACGTGAATGTTGTCATTACTTAACAAAATTGAGCTATGGCAACATATTTTAAGTAAATGTTACTAATATTACCTTTTTGCAAAGTTTTTTTTAGTGTTTGCGAAATTTTTTAAAAACAAAGTTTTTCGCAGCGTCTTTCGTTGCAAAAACTCCACAGCCCCTTTTAATTAGATCATTTCAGCCCAAGCTATTCCTCACGTCTCTTGCCTTTCCTTTCTTCTTCCCCCAGCCTCAAGAAACGCTCCACCCGTCCTCTCTCCCATGGTTGACGCCTTGATGGCAGTCACTGGCCACACCCACGGCAGTCACGGCACCGGCTCCAACTTCCAATCTCCGTGCGACCGCGCCTCCCCCCGTTCCAACTTCCAAGCTCCGTGGCTCGTCCGGGTCCACCTGTCCTCACTTCTTTCTGAGCTCTCTCGGTCTCCCGGAACTCAGCACTTAGTCTCCTGGTAATTTCCGGCACTCAGACAGTCAGACAAAACCCCCCATTCCCGTTCTGTATATGCAAACTTTTGATTTTGTGTACAATTGAAATTTGAAATTAGGGTTTGAATTCTTGATGATAGACAATGTCA